CCCCCCCTGGTGGTCCTCGTCTTTTTTTTTTTTTTTGAGAGAGATTTTTGCTATAGGGCACATGTGGTCTCTGGAAAGACAGAGACCGAGAGGCCGAATGCAAGAAATCACCCCCACCCCAAGGAGGGAAGGCCATGCCATAGTCCCTTCTCCTGGGATTTTGGTCATGGATACACATGTGACCAGCTTGAGTTTTAAACCAATGGGTTTGAGACTTGAACCACAGTCTGCCATGTTGGAGTCCAGTGACATAACCATTATGCCATCTGCTGGTCCCTATTACTTTTTTTTAATTGCCAGAGGGCACACGTAATTACAAGAGAATGAGTGAGCAAGCAGAAGTCACCCCTCACCACACTCCAAAGAGGAACAGAGATAGAGAGAGAACACTGCCTCAGGAGGCATGGCCATATCACAGTCTCTTTCTCAGTTTTCCTCTCAGGATTCTGGGCACTCAAGTCACTGAGTCCAGGACTCAAACCACACGTTTGGCCATGTGGAATCCAGCTGCTCTAACTACCATGCCACTGCTGGTCCCCTGACTAAATATCTCAGAAACAGGATAGTAGTTGTTAGAAAAATTTTTAGGGGTTAAATCAGAATCCAAAGTCTTTATTATGAATATCCTACAGGATCTTTCTCTTGATACAGTTTTTTTTTTTTTTTTAAGATTGCCAGAGGGCACCTGCACTTACCAGAGAAAGATGGGGGTCGGGGGTGTGAAGAGCACCCTGCAGTTGTGCGTGGTTACACCACGAACCTTTCTCCATCCCACCATCCTGTGGGGATTTTTGGACATGCATGCACATGGGCCTTCTGTGTTTTTGAACTGCATTTGGTCATATGGAATCTGGCTCCTTAACCACTAGTCTGTAGGCTGACCCCTCCTCTTGCTACCTTTTTAACTTCATTCTCTGTGTCACTCTCCCATTGCTTTTTTCAGTCAGCCCCACCTATTGGGTTGTTGGAAATGTCATAATGTATGTTTTTCTTTCTATTTTTTAAAAGAATTTTTTATTAAATTATATTTAGTTAGTTATTTTAATTTGAACCAACAGGGGCAGAGGCAGAGTGAGAGAGAGAGAGGGAAAATGGGAAAGCAAGCCGCTAGGTCTGGGACTCAAACTGTGGTGGTCCAAGTGGGAGTCCAGTGCCCCTAACCACCATGCCACCTGCCAGCCCCTAATGACATATGTTTTTCTATGTAAAAATGCGTCATGACTTTTCTGACAACTCAGTACTTATCCCTCAAACATAAACTACTTCTGGATGAGGACTTTGCAGTTACCTTTATTGTCTTGAATATTCATTTCCTTTAATAGCAATGTGACTTCTTCCTTCACTTTATTCTGGTCTGTACTCAGATGTCACCATATTAGCTAGGTCTTTCCTCTCTAGTAGTTCACCCAGTCACTAATATGGCTTACTCCTCCCTTTACTCTCTAATCTTTAGCATTACTTATTTTTCTTCAAGCTGCTTGTTTCTAGCTAACATTCTGTTTGCTTCTTTGTTCACTGTCTATCTCATTACTCTGCACCTAGACTGTGACCTCCATAGAAGAGAAGGGCCTATTTGCTGCTGAATCTCTAGCACCTACCAGTCTCTGGCATAGATGTAGGGGACATAAATAAATATTTGTTGGATGTATGCATCCCCTGTGTTCTTCATGTTGATCCTTTTGCTGTCAAATTTTACAGAAAAACTAGGTTTTACTTCTGTAATAGTTCTTCAAAACCTCAGGAAGTTTGCCTTTTTTGTAAGTTTTTCCACTCTATGTAAACTTTGACTCCTTTAAAGAATTATTAATTTAATTTTTGTATTAATTATTTTTAAAAATTTGGTGTAGGATACATGTGCTCAACTAGAAAGAGACAGAAAGAGAGAGAGGGACCAGCAGTTAGCATAATGGCTATGTTGCTGAACTCCCATGTACTCAACTGTGGTTCGAGTCCCGGACCCAGTGGCTTAAAGTCACGCTGGGTGTGTGTGCGTGCGTGCCCAGGATCCCCAGAGGAGAATGGAGAAGGGATTGTGGCATGGCCATCCCCCCGGGGGATGATTTCTCACTTTCTGTCTCTCTGTCTTTCTGGCAAGTATACACACACCCTATAGCAAAAATCTCTCCAAAAAAAAAAGAGAGAGCAAGAGCGAAATCAAGCTGCCAGATACGGGACTCAAACCATCGTTGGCCATGTGGGAGCCCAGTGCCTTAACCACTACACTGTACTCTCAACATTTTCTCTTTTTTTGGAGAGGTTTTCACTACAGGGCGTGTGAGCTCACCAGAAAAACAGATAGAGAGACAGAAAGCAAGAAATCACCCCCTAGGGGGGATGGCCACGCTGCAATCCCTTCTCCTCTATTCTCCATTCTCCTCTCGTGATCTTGGCATGCACACACATGGCATGAGTTTAAGCCACCAGGTCTGGGACTTAAACTGCAGTCGACTACTTGGGAGTCCAACAACATAGCCATTATGCCATCTGCTGATCTCCAGCATTTTCTTAATTCTTTACTCACTTGTTATCTTTCTCTGATGCTCTAGCTTTTCTTAAAGTGTGAAGGTTAGAGGGGTCAGCAGGTGGTGTGATGGTTAAGGTGTCTGGACTCCCACATGGCTGACCATGGTTCGAGTTCTGGACCTGGCAACCTATTTTTCATTTTTCTTTCTCTCTGTCTGGTCAAATTCAAAATGAATGAATGAATAATAATGAATAAAATAATTCTTTTTAAAAAATGCATGATGGTTAGAGTTAATATAGTCTTTTTTTTTTTTTTTTGAGAGAGATTTTTGTTAAAGGGTGTGTGAGTTCACCAGAGAGACAGAGAGAGACAAAGAGACAGAAAGCAAGAAATCACCTCCTGGGGGCCACACTACAGTCCCTTCTTCTCCATTCTCTTCTTGGGATTTTGGGCACGCATGCACATATGCCCAGCTTGAGTTTCAAGCCGCCCGACTCTAGGACTCAAACTGTTCGACGGCCACGTGGGAGTCCAGTGCCTTAACCACTATGCCACTTGCTAGACCCAAGTTAATATATTCTTTATAGCAGTGCATAGAAAAATGGTACTTTCAGTGATTTATAAACATTAATTTTATTAATGTAGTTCCAGAGAAGTTCTTTTTTTAGCAGCCATATTATACTGTCAACTTATAAGAAATGTAGTTAGGCCCAGCTTGTGAAAACAGTAGGGCACTTTTGTGTGATACTAGACCCACATGAGGTGCTTGGCTTCGTATCTCAGGTAGACCTCACACACCATGCATGCCTATGACCCTTGCTACCTGGAACACTGGGAGGAAAATCATGGTGTAATGAGACTCCTTTGTCTGTCTTTCTCCTTCAAATGAATGAAAGAAACTTTTTAAAAAGAGAAATGAAACGCACAGTTAATTCATGAAGGGCTATAGAGTTAGGCATTGTCCTGCTGTTACTGATTTTTTTCTAAACATAATGTGATTTTGTTCCCTAAGGGGTTTGTGACCATGACTTTGGAAAGCCCAGAAGAAATACAGGATGTCGGCTGTGCTCGGAAAGAACTTAACAGAAAGCTGAGTAGTAATGCTGTGTCCCAAATTACCAGAATGTGCCTCCTGAAAGGAAATATGGTAGGCTTTTCTGGATAATTAAACAGTACCATTAATCAGGCACTATACATGTTTATAAAGACTAACAGATTTTGTTCCCTTCTTTTTTGGAGTATAATCATCTCTTGATTAGATTGTTTCTAGTTTTATATTTGGGGAGTTATAAAAAAAAAACATTCCTCTAGAGGTCCTAAGTCATTTTGCTTAGTTTGAATATCTAATACCCAAATTTCTCCTCTGGCATGCATATTATTTATGGTGTTGTGTGATCATCCTCTGAGACAAGTAACTTAAGATTACAACAGTTAAATAGCTCTGTATTTTGGAGAACAGCAATATAGGTTTTTGTTTAGTTTTATTCATCTATTTTAATTTGACTAGAGACAGAGAGAAAAAGTGGAAAACCAAGCCACCAGGTCTGAGATTTGAACTATAATCGGCCATGTAGGAGCGTCCAGCGCCTTAACCACCATGCCACCTGCTGGTCCCATAATACAGTTTTTTAAGCAGTCTGATATTGGTTGTTAATGAAGATAAGGATACAAATTGAATAATTATTGTCATAGACTTACATACCAAGTCCAAACTCAGTTACCTTTTTTTAAAAAGTATTTTATTTAACTTTATTTACTTATTTTAATTTGACCAGAGAGAGACAGAGTGACAGAGACAGACAGAGAGAGAGAGAGAAAACAAGCCACCAGGTCCAGGATTTGAACTGTGGTCAGTTGTGTGGGAGTCCAGCACCCTTAACCACCACACTACCTGCCAGCCCCCAAAACTCAATAATCTTAGTGACTTGAATTTTTTGTAAAGATTTTGAGAAAAGATGTTTATTCACTTTACTATATAGGTTCATTATTGCCTAGAATTTATTACTAAGTTGTTTTTTTAGAAATACCTCTGAATGTTTAATATCACATATGTTGAAAAAGTCAAGGTAACTATGAGACAAATGTGCATATTCTAAAATATGTAGAGGCAAGAGAAAATATCACAAGATCTATAGGCCACATGAGCTGCCATACTTCAACATTAACTTCCAGTGTACTAGCAACTAAGACCATAAAGGAATCATCTTTGGACATACCAGTCTAGTCATCTGGAAAATATTGCAGCTATTCAGCAGAGAAGCTTTCAGGCACTAATGTATTTATTTATTTTTTTTTTAATTTGTGGGGTAAGAAATCACCCCCAGTGGGGATAGTTACACCTCAAGCCCTCCTTTATTCTCCTCTTGGGATTTTGGTTATGCATGCACATGTGCCCAGTGTGTTTTTCAAGCCCCTGGGTCTGGGAATTGGCCATCGTGGATCCAGATGCTTCAACCACCATGCCATTGGCTGGCCTTAAATTTCTTGAATAAACTTGAGTGTGGTATGATTATTCCCACTATGGGTGGCTTTTTCTCTTCCCCTCTCTCTGTCACACTCTGGTGAGCCCATGTGCCCTATAGGAAATTAAAAGAAAAATTATGAGAAGGGGATGATTTACACAGGAAATGAAATAACATTATAGCATCTACAGAAACTTCTAAGAACATACTTGAGTCTTGTAGTAGTACTAGTAGATTCTCATTAGATACTGTGTTTAGTTACCTTTCAGGTTTAAATAGGCAGCCAGTCTGTCATGGATTGTTACGGATGAACTGTTGTGATCCTAAGCCATTGTGGGATACACATCTTTTTCATTTTAAGTTAGCGTAAGATTATCTGCAAGTATGAGTTTATTAATCAGAATCAGTTCATGCAACTAAATAATGTTTTTATTTTCTTTTAGGGTGTATGTTTTGATGTTCCCACAACTGAGTCTGAAAGGTTACAGGTACTTAATTTTATTTGTTAAATAGTTGAGTATGTTTATTGAGAGATGATAAGGGTTTTTTTTTGTTTTTTGTTTTTTGTTTTTAAGAATTACTTTATTGGGACCAGCAGTTAGCATAATGGCTATGTCGCTGGACTCCCACGTAGTCAACCGCTGTTCAAGTACTGGACCCGGTGGCTTAAACTCACTCTGGGCGCGTGTGTGTGCATGCTCAAGATCCCGAGAGGAGAATGGAGGAGAAGGGATTGTGGCATGGCCATCCCCCCTGGGGGGTGATTTCTTGCTTTCTGTCTCTCTGTCTCTCTGTCTGTCTGGTGAGTGCACACGCCCTATAGCAAAAACCTCTCAAAAAAATTAATTACTTTAAAATAAATAAATAAGAATTACTTTATTTATTTAAATTTGACCAAAGAGTGAGAGACAGAGAGAGAGAGAGGGAAAGTGAGAAAGTAAACCACTAAGTCTGGGACTTGAAGTGTGGTCGGCCATGTGGAAGTCCAGCGCCCTTAACCACCACATCACTTGCTGGCCTGATAGGGGTTTTTTGAAAGACATAGTCACAATGTCATTATTGTGCCTAAATCAATTAAGAATTTCTTTATAAATAATGCTTATCTATTCTGTTTCATAACCTAAACATCTATTATGAATAATTTGAAACATTTTTTAAAAATGATAGGATTGCATTATGAACCCCCAGGTACTATCACCTGTTTTTTGTTTGTTTGTTTGTTTTTAAGAGATTTTTTAGGGACCAGGAATTAATGTAATGGCTATGTCGCTGGACTTCAATGTAGTCAACTGTGGTTTGAGTCCCGGACCCAGTGTCTTAAACTCACACCGGACATGTGCATGCGTGCCCAAGATCCCGAGAGGAGAATGGAGAAGGGATTGCGGCATGGCCATCCCCCCTGGGGGGTGATTTCTTACTTTCTGTCTCTCTGTCTCTCTTTCTTTCTGGCAAGTGCACATGTCCTATAGCACAAACCTCTCCCAAAAAAAAGAGATTTTGGGGTTGACCAGTAGGTTGTGTAATGGTTATGTTGCAGTCGACTGTGGTTCAAGTTCGGACCCAGCAATTTAAAACTCACACTAGGCGTGTGTGTATGAGTGCCCAAGATCCCAGAAGGAGAATGGAAGAGAAGGAATTGTGGTATGATCATCTCCCTGGGGAGTAATTTCTTGCTTTCTGTCTCTCTGGTGAGCATATGCGCCCTATAGCAAAAATTTCTCTTAAAAAGAAAAAGAGATTTTTAAATTTTTTGTTATATGGCACATGTGCTCATTAGAGAGGCAGGAGAGACAGAGAGATAGAAAGTGAGAAATCATCCCCCAAAGATGCTGGCCACGCCACAGCCCCTTCTCTTCCATTCTTTTGGGATTTTGGGCACACATGCCAGCACCTATCACCCAGTTTTAACAATTAATAATTCAAAGTTAGTTTTGTTTCATATCTGTTTCCATCTACTGTAGTCTTTCCACTCCTGTATTCTTTTTTAATTTAACAATTATTTATTTAATTTTATTAATTATTTTTATTATTATTATTTTTTAAATTTGCTACAGGGCATGTGTACTCACCAGATAGAGACAGAGTGAGAGAAAGTGAGGAAGTAGAAAGCTGCCAGGTCTGGGACTTGAACTGTGGTTGGCCATGAGGGAGTCACTCTAGTTACCAGGCCACCTGTTGGCCCCCTACTCTATTCTTTTGAAACAAATTCTAGGTATTCTGTCTTTTCAACCATAAATATTTCCATATATCTAAATCTTAAGGACTTAATTTTTAAAAGATAATACAATAATTATACTACCTTAAATAATAATTTCTTAATATCATCTAATATTCTATTGAATTTCCCATATTATTTCCTAAATATTTTAAAATACCCAGTTCACACATTGAATTTAATGTTTATTAAGGCTTTTTTTCCCCTTAGGATTTCTTTTTGGTTTTAAGAATTATTTATTTAATTTTTTAATTATTATCATTATTTTTCAATTGGCTACAGGACAAATGTGTTCTCCAGAGAGAGACAAAATGAGAGAATTAAAGTAAGAAAGCAATCCACCAGATCCAGGACTTGACTGTGTTGGCCATGTGGGAGTCCAACGCCCTAACCACCATGTCACCTGCCAGCCCCTTCTGTATTCTTTTGAAACAAATTGTAGGTATTCTGTCTTTTCAACCATAAATATTTCCATTTATCTAGATCATTTTTTCATAAGTATAATTTACTAAATTAATCAATGAACTTTAATTTGGCCAGATAAACACTGTGACAGGGAAAGTGAGAAAGGAATACACCAAGTCCCGGATTCTAACCCTGATCAACTATGTTGAAGTCTAGCACATTGACTGCCACACCACCTGCTGGTCCCTCCATATATCTAAATCTTAAGAACTTTGAAAAATTTAAGGATAATACCATAATTATATTCCCCCAAATAATAATTCCTTAATATCATCCAATATTCTATTTGAATTTCCCATATTGTTTCCCAAATAGTTTAAAATATAAAGTCCACACATTGCAATATAATATTCATTAAGGGTTTTTTTTTGTGTGTTTTTTTTTTTTTATTTTTTTTGCCTTAGAATTTGTGTACAGTGAGAGGGAGAGTATGAAATGACCTCCTGGGAGATGGCCACGCTGCAGTCCCTTCTCCTGGGTTTTAGGCATGGATGCACATGCACCAGGCATGAAATTCAAGCTGCTAAATCTGGGACTTGAACCACTGTCGGCTATGTGGGAGTCCAGTGCATTAACCACTAAGCCAACTGCTGGCCCCTGTTAAGGCTCTTTTAATTTATAATATTTCCTTTGCTCCTCTCTTTAAAAAAATTTCTTTTGGGGGGATAGTGGTTAAGGCATTGGACTCCCACATGGACCACCACAGTTTGAGTCTCAGACCTCTTGACTTGAAAATCACTCCAGGCATGTGTGTGTTAGTGCCCAAAATCTCGAGAGGAGAATGGAGGGGAAGGGATTGCAGCATGGCCAGCCACTTTGGTGAGAAAAGTGAGAAGCTTCCCTTCTGTCTCTCTCTCCAGCAAGTGCACATGCTATCTGGCAAAAACCTATTAAAAAAAAATTTATTTGTTGAAGAAGCTGTCCACTTCATTCCTGCAGTGAAAAATGTGTCGGTTGCATCTCCGTGCATATTTATATACATATTTTGAGAATTGAATGAGATGATTCTGTCTTCAAAATCTTATAAAATTCTGACTATATTGACACATTTCTTTTGTGTCACCTATACATTCAAACTTATTTTATTTTTTAAAATGTAACCCATTATTTATTTATGTATTTATTGACTTGGAGAGGTTTTTGCTATAGGGCATGCACGCTTGCCAGAAAGAGAGACAGAGAGATAGAAAGTGAGAAATCACCCCCCCCCCGGGGGATGGCCACACTGCAATCCCTTCTCCTCCATTCTCCTCTCAGGATCTTGGGCATGCACGCACACGTGTCTGGCGTGAGTTTAAGCCACCGGGTCTAGGACTTGAACTGAGATTGGCTACATGGGAGTTCAGCAACATTGCCGTCATGGTAACTGCTGGTCCCTTCAAACTTATTTTTAATGATTACTTTTTTTTTTTTTAATAGATTTTTGCTTTAGGGCACATGTGCCCCCCACCCCCACCCCCGAGACAGAGAGAGATACATGGGAAGTGAGAAATTTTCCCCTCCCCCAAGGTGCTTACCACACCACAATCCCTTTTCCTCCATTCTCCTCTCAGGATTTTGGGCATGCATGCACTCATACTTGGTGTGAATTTAAACCACTGGGTTCAGGACTTGACCTAAGGTCAGCTATGTGGGAGTCCAGTGGTGTAACCATTACGCCATCTGCTGGTCCCTAGATTACTTAATAATTTACCATAGGAGTAGCCAACTTTCTTAACCAATATCCTATTTTCTGAAATTTAGATTATTTCTAGTAATTTTCCATTACAAACAAGACTGCCTTGAATGTTGGTATAGCTAATCATTGATATGTTTCTAAGATGAATTTTTTAAAAAGGTGACTGGCCGAAAAGCTTGTGAATTTTTAAAGACTGTCAGGGCCAGCAAATCATGTAGTGGTTGTCACTGGACTCCCATGTGGTTGACCGCTGTTTCAAGCCATGGACTCAGTTGCTTGAAACTCAGGTCAGTCACGTGTGGGCGCCTGCCCAAGATACCAGGAGGAGAATGGAGGAGAAAGGATTGTGGGTGGTTTGGGCTAACAGGTGGTTTGGTGGTTAAGATGGCTGGATTCCCACATGGCTTACCTTGGTTTAGTCCCGGTGACTTGCCGATCTCACCAGGCATGTGTGCTTGTGTGTATGCTTGCCCAAGACCTCGAGAGGAGAATGGAGAAGGGATTATAATGAGGTTAGCTACCCTGGGAGGTGATTTCTCACATTCCCTCTGACTTTTTCTTCTCTCTCCTCTCTGGCAAACACATGAGCCCTGTGACAAAATCTAGGGAATAAAAAGGTATACACAGCAATATATTTTTTTTAAGAATTGTTTTATTTAACTTTATTTATTTATTTATTAAATTTGACCCAAGAGGGACAGAGTGAGAGAGAGAGAGAGAGAGAAGCCGCCAGGTCCAGGACTCAACTGCAATCCGCCGTGTGGGAGTCCAGCATGCCACCTGTTGGCCCCACTCAGCAGTACTTTTCATGAGCTTCTGGTTTGTATATCTTGAGTTGCTTAATTCCAGTACCAAATTGTTTCCAATGGCTACGCTTTCCAGTTACAGGCTGGTGTTGAAAAGTTTTCTCTCTTCCATAAGCAATTTTAATTCTTACTTCTGAAATTAATGGGAAATGCATATTATGAGAAAACTATGCATGAATTTCAATTTTTTTGCACCAAAATAAACTTGTACTTTAATTTCATTTTTCCACTAACTCCTAAAAACAGTGCACTACTTATTAATGACCTATCTGCTTTATGCTAAGAAACCAGATAGTACTGTTTTAGAATATGTAGTGAGTATGAATTTAGTCTCAAAATGGGCCTGAAGTTTCTTCTAAGACTAATACTTAGAAACTTTAGGGAATGAGCTTTCAACATATTTTTGTCTTACACACTTTCTGGTTTTGATTTTTATTCTAGATAATCTGAATTTAATGGATAGATTATTATGAGAAAAGCATCTCCTAAATCATGTGCTAAGTTATGATTTCTATTTTGCATTTGTATTAATTCTTTAAATTCCTCCAACAGGCAGAGTGGCATGATTCAGACTGGATACTCTCAGTGCCAGCCAAATTACCTGAAATTGAAGAATATTATGATGGAAACACATCTTCCAATTCCAGACAGAGGAGTGGCTGGTCTGGTGGTCGGTCGGGCCGATCGGGCCGATCAGGCGGTCGATCTGGTGGTCGGTCAGGCAGACAGAATCGACAGGGGAGTCGGTCAGGAAGTCGACAAGATGGTAGAAGAAGGGGTGGGAATAGAAATCGATCAAGAAGCGGAGGCCACAAACGAAGTTTTGACTGAGTATTTGATAGTTAACCTACCAGTGTGGGCTTGCCTATTTCTGCCTAATCATGTACATTATCCACCAAAAATTAGGTCATCATAGTTGAGGTATGTGTCTGCTATTTGCAAAGAAGTTGGTCGTATTTTTTTAAAAAGTATTTCACAAGAATGGTTTTAAACAAATCTACTTATCCAGTTATACCTTTGAATAAAAAAAAACCCTCCTTTTATTGTCTCTTTTTACTATGTGTTAATAATTATCTCAGTGTTATCCTCTTCTTCTAAAACTTGGCAGTCAAGTTATTCTTAAGGTTATTTGCATTCAAATGTATACTTGTATTCAGATCATTCTTTCCATAACTTATGTGATAAAAAATAAACCTCTTTCACGTTAATGGGCTGTATAAACTAGTGACATGGTTAGTCAGGTATAGCATTTTAAATTCTAGCTATAGCTAATTAAAAGGGTATAGAGGGCTGGCAGGTGATATGGTGGTTAAAGTCACTGGATTACTACGTGGCCGACCATGGTTTGAGTCCTGGACCTGGTGGCTTGCTTTCTCGCTTTCCCTTTTCCTCTGTCTCTCTCAGGTCAAATTAAAAAATAATAACAACACATGGAATTAAAGAAATAATTCTTTTTACAAAAGAGTATAGAAGCAATACACACTAATTGAACAGATAGTTAGTGGATGTTTATTTTGTGTCCATTGCTACGTTAATCAGTCTTGCGATTATAGTTCATTTTGCCATTAGCAAAGGTCCTAATTATATGAAATAGTGGCTTTCCATATCTTCTGATAGACAGGAGCAAATTTTTCATCAAATTTTTAATTTGGGTTGCATTCAACCACTTATTTTTACTCTTTCTTTAGAATCCAGCATCATCATGGCTTCACTTTTTTGACTTTTGGCTTCCTGTTTGATAATCTGTGCTATAGCGCAGCCACTTAACAGCTGCTTGAACTTCAAATCGTTACCCTGATGATCATCAGTTTCTGAATTTGTAAATGAAGTAACATCTATATTATTTTCTTTAGCATTTGAAGTTTCAGTAGTGAATTCACATTTAGGTGTGAGTGTATGAAAACCTCCCATGTTTTGGGAGTAATACTTAAGAGTGTTTTGTTTTAGATTTTTGCCACAGGGTGTACATGCTTGCAGGAGAGAGAGAGGGCATGTGAGAAATCACCCCTAGTGAGGATGGTCACATTGCAATCCCTTCTTCATTTTCCTCTTGGGATTGGGGCCTCATGCACACACAAGAATTGTATTCATGTTCTCTCTCCCTTCTTTTATGGCTAATACCGGGATGACTGAAGTGCTTTCCTGCCTGAGCATATAGCTAAGATTTATTTCAAGGGATTTCCCTCTCCCACTATTGCCATGTTAATGCTCAATAAACCTTTAGTGACAGATCACTATTCACCAGGCACAGTTTGATTTTTTTTTTTTTTTTGAGAGGTTTTTTGCTATAGGGCGCGTGCGCTCGCCAGACAGAGACATAGAGACAGCGAGAAATCACCCCCCAGGGGGGATGGTCACACCACAATTCCTTCTCCATTCTCCTCTCAGGATCTTGGGCACGCACACATACACGCCCGGCGTGAGTTTTAAGCCACCGTGTCCGGGACGCGAACCGCGGTCAACTATGTGGGAGTCCAGCGACATAGCCATTATGCTAACTGCTGGTTCCCGCACAGTTTGATTTTTGAGGACACAAAAATGGAGAAATCAAGTCTTCTGGCTCAAGGAAATCCGAGTATCAATTAAGCTTTGTTCCACATTTCTATAAACTGCTAAAAATATTGACGCTGAAATATCACATAATAGTTTGTGAAACAAAATTTTCCCTTAAAGTTCTTATTTATTAATTTTTTTTGGAGAGGTTTTTGCTATAGGGCATGTGCGCTCCTCAGAAAGACAGACAGAAAGCGAGAAATCACCCCCTGAAGGGATGGCTATGGTGCAATCCCTTCTCCTCCATTCTGCTCTTGGGATCCTGGGCATGCACGCACACGTGCCCAGCGTGAGTTTAAGCCACTGGGTCCAGGACTTAAACCATGGTTGACTACATGGGAGTTCAGCAACATTGCCCTTATGCCATCTGCTGGTCCCTAAAGCTCTTATTTTAAAATGTGCAGTAAAAACTAAATAAAACTATTCCAGCATTTACCTTTGTCATAAAATGTAATACTTTGAATTGTCTTTTTAAACACTTTACAAACCTACAAGTTTTACTAGCTCTTATTTATTGTGATTGGTGGGCAGGCACTGCTGAGCTCTTCTTCATTATACTCAATTTTCTCAACTGATTAAATAAGTTTTGTTACTCCCTAGAATGCGCTGGAAATTTAGGTTTAGATTAATATGTACAAAATCACAGAGCAAATAGTAGTCAATGCAGATTTTCAAAGCCATATGTGATTCCAACCCATTTTAAAATTACTATGATAAATTGTCTTCCAATTTTTTTTTTTTTTGAGAGGTTTTCACTATAGGGTGCGTGTGCTTGCCAGACTGACAGAGAGAGACATAGAGACAGAAAGCGAGAAATCACCCCCTAGGGGGGGATGGTCACGCTGCAATCCCTTCTCCTCCATTCTCCTCTCTGGATCTTGGGCACTCACGCACGCACACGTGCCTGGCGTGAGTTTTAAGCCACCGGGTCCAGGACGCGAACCATGGTCAACTACCATGGTCAACTACGTGGGAGTCCAGCTGCATAGCCATTACACTAACTGCTGGTTCTCCAATTTTTTTGATCTCTTAACTTTTTTTTTTTC